AAGGGCCATTTCAGAAATTTGTGAAGTGGCCCTGGGATGCTCCGGAAAGGGCAGGGCCAGGACATTCCTTGAAGAGTGGAGGAAACTTCACACATTCCCACTCCCAGGCCAGTCAGGGCTTGGGTGCTGGGTAGTGTGTGAAGTCTCTTCCCGCCCTGCTTGGAGTGCATGGCACTTCTAAGCACCATGCACTCCTTGCAGGGTGGAGGAAACTTCATGTGCCTCTCCCTTTCTCCAGGCCCTGATTAGCTTGGGGGCAGGGGAGCAGCAGGGCCTCCGCGGAGTAGATCCACCTGCTTGGTGGGTCGGATCCGGCACACGGAGGCCCTTTTGCACACCTCTGGGCTAGAGATTATCATTTCACAGTGCAACAGGAGTGTATATGGTGCTTGTCAAATGTCAGAAAAATAACAAGGTGTGTCTGCTGTGGAGCTACCAGTCTGAAAGTAGATCAGAAACCTGTGGCTGTCCCACGTCAGCTGGGTTGGACTTGGGCTATGGGATTGTTTAATTGTAGTGCAGATGTTGGGCTCAGGCTGGAGACAGGCGGGCTCTAGAACTCTGCAAGGTCTTGGGCTTGTCCCAGAGCCTGGAAGTCAACGCTGCAATTAAACAGCTCCACACCTTGAGCCCTGAGAGCCCAAGTCAGTTAACATGGGCCAGCCATGGGGTTTTAATGACAGTGTAAACAAATCCCAAGGGTCTGAATCAATTCACAATTAGGTCAGTGAGAGTTTTGCCAATGATTCAAATTGGACTAAGTCCAGGTCTACACTAGACCTGGAAGGTTGGATTAAGGTGCATATTAAAATAAGTAGCTGTACTCTGCTTACGTTAAGCCGGGAAAAGGGCAGTGGGAAAGGGAAATGGCCATGGAAGGGGTTGATGGCAAGAGAGGTTGACACATGAGCTGTTCAGGAAATATAGAGAGACGAAGGTAATAGCTAGCATTGTATATCCCATGATAAAGTAGACTGTAAAGAAATCAGAAGAGATAGCATGTCAGATAGAACTGAGTTTGGTCAAAATCATTCTGAGAGGATTATAACAGAGGTTCTATTGGAATAGTGTTTAGGGATGTGTTATGGATCAGATTTGGATATAGACAGAGATCTGTCTAATATTAAATAAATACTCCCAGGAACTGTTGTCATAGTAGAATTTAAAATCCAACGTTAATGATTGGAGAACAAATGCTACTCGGAGGATTTAGTTATTTCTGCAGGTGATAGCCAACTAATTTCTTCATCAAAAGGTCACTCAACCAACAAGAGGGGATTTTAGCCTTTATCAATAAATAGTAAGGATATTGTAGAAAAGCTGGTTATGGAAAAATAAGCTTGGGTTACAAGATATTATGATCTTATTTATTTCTAATTAAATGGAAGGATAATCAAAAACAGGTCAGTAACTAAGGTTGTAAATATCAGGTGACTAGACTGAGAAATAAAAGGAACTAGTCAATTGAATTGAAGAGCTCAGAGACTTAAATGTGGAGGTGTTTCAGAATTTCTTTGTCACCGTTTTCTGAAATTTATATCCAAGAAAAAATGTTTAGGGAGGATTCCAGGCCTAACTAAATGAAGAAACATCTCAAAGGATACAGGTTGGACCTCCCTGGTCTGGCACCCTCAGGACCTGATATGTTCCTGATGAGGGATTTTGTCAGACCAGGGGAGGTTGTATCTGGCCCTCTCCCTACTTGGCCCTCTCCCTACTTAGTCCTCCTACCCCACCCCTTGGACTGGTTGCTAGCTGGCTCCATTACCTTTCCCCCACTCCCTGCCATCCCTCCCATGCTACGCAACCCAACTCCTGGGCCCCCAGGTAACCCTGCTGGGGTGTTCCAATCTCCTTACCCTGCCAGTAGCCTGCTGGCTTGCCAGCCCACTGGGCTCTTAGCCACTAGCCCACCACCAGGAGACTCGGGTCCTGCCATCCAGAGAGTCCTCTCCTTACCCTGCCAGTAGCCTGCTGGCCTGCCAGCCCACTGGGCTCTTAGCCAGTAGCCCACCACCAGGAGACTCTGGTCCTGCCATCCAGAGAGTCCCAGTTTGCAGAGGTTCAACCTGTGTTAGGAGCACAGAGAGAATCGATGAAGAATGGAAAAAGGATTGATCAGCAAAGAAGAGTATGTCTTAGAGATAATAAAGTGCAGAGATAAAATTAAAATTGCCAAAAGTCAAGCTGAATTACACTTTGCAACAGAAATTAAAACAACTAATAAAGGTTCTTTAGCCATATAAATAAAAAGAGAACAAGAGAAAAAACAGGGCAGCTATGCAGTGAGAATGGAGTAGAGATTAAGGATTATTTAGGTAGGCCCCAAAGCTAAATGAATAGTTTGCCTCACTTTTCAAAAAGGATGGTAATGGACAATATAGGAACAAATGCAGGATGTCTAAAGAGGAGGAGTGTATAGAAGTAGGCATTACTATTGAGGTGGAAGCAAAACTCAAGGTTTAATATACTTAAGATATAGTAATGGATAATCTCCAATCCAGAATCCTGAAAGAACTGGCACATGGAATCATAGGTCTGGTAGCAAGGGTATTTAATAAATCTGTCAAATCAGAGACGTCATGGTTCAACTGGAGAATACAGGCAGTCCCCGGGTTACGTACAAGATAGGGACTGTAGGTTTGTTCTTAAGTTGAATCTGTATGTAAGTCAGAACTGGCGTCAAGATTCACCCACTGTTGAAACTGATCAGCTTCAGCAGCGGCCGAATCTGGACGCCAGTTCCTGTAGGTTTGTTCTTAAGTTGAATCTGTATGTAAGTGGGACCTGGCGCCCAGATTCAGCCGCTGCAGACCAGGGGGACGGGGAGCAGAGCAGAGCAAAGCCGCGGAGCACGCAGCCAGCTGACAGCCCAGACGCGTCTGGGCTGTCCGCTGCCCGCATGTTCCGCCGCTTTGCTTCCTCTCCCTAGTCTGCTGGAGACCAGGGAGAGGGAGGGCCCCGTTCGTAACTGCGGATCCGACATAAGTCAGATCCGTGTAACTCGGGGACTGCCTGTACCTAATAGCAGCACGGGTGGGGCAGGTAGCTCCTTGAGAACTGGCATACACAAGGAGCTGGCTTGAAAGCTGGCTCATCATGGTCGCTGGCTCCCGCTCCGTTCGTAACTGTGGATCCGATGTAAGTCGGATCTGTGTAACTCTGGGACTGCCTGTACCTAATAGCAGTACGGGTGGGGCAGGTAGCTCCTTGGGAACTGGCATACACAAGGAGCTGGCTTAAAAGCTGGCTCATCATGGGCGCTGGCTCCCGCCTCCCATCTTCCCCGCTGCCTCTGATACAGGGACAGCAAGAGGAGGTTGCATGTAATCATTTAGATTAACTGATAAGCCTAGGCTAATTGATTAATCGTTTAAACAGCTATACACTAACATCTCTACTGTAAAGGAAATTCACTCCATGATCCCAGCAATGTGTTGAAGCCACTAAATCAGCCATCGGCTCCTCTGAACGTCTAAAGAATAATCCCTCTGCAGCAAGCAGTGAATTAAATGCATTCAATAACAAGCAAAGACTTGAACAAATAACCCACTCTAACATGCTTGAAATTGGGAGTAATGTGATGTGTAGGGTTCAGATATCTCCATTCCTTTTGCTCTATCTCAGCAGCCAGTGGAGTGTCTCCCCCAGTGCTGCCTGGTGGTACTTCTGAGCATAATGTGAAGTCTGTTTTTTTGCTTTGAAGAATAATATCCTGTTTACCTAAGTTGCTTAATTAAACCAGTTTGCTATGCATCCATATAAATGGATGTGAAGAAATGAATGGAGGTGAATGGAGACTGATTAGGAAATCTTATTAAAGAATGCAGATGGATTTTAGCCTTGGAATTACTTGTCCAACTCTGAACGGGGTGAAGGAAGCGCTCTCATTAATCATTGTGACTTTATGTAGCCAGTGTGGGCCTTGTGCATGGCCTCTTGAGCATCCCAAATCGCAGTAGATGTTGGCAAGAGCTAGTGGTCATGGTGTCAGCAATGGGAATGTGGTACTTGGAGATTTTCCACTACAAAAACAGCCCATGGCAGAGTCTCAGCATGTAGGTCAGCTGACTCAAGCTCATGCTGCTGGGCTAAAAATAGCAGTGTAGGTGGTCTAGCTTTGACTGAAGCCTGGGCTCTGAGAGCTGGTGAGGGGGGGAGGTTCACAGAACTTGGGCTCTAGTATCCAGCCTAAGCCCAAACTCTGTAGTGCTTTTTTTTAGCCTTAAGTTGCAAATCTTGTGAGCTTGTCAGTCAACTTAGGCTTGAAGACTCACTGTTGCGGGTTATCTTTTGCAGTGGAGACATACCCCAAATGGAGGCTTACTAGAAGATTGCTGTGAACACAGCAAGTAGGCAGGGGAGTGTTTGCTTAGGGAGATGGATGTACAGAACTGTTACTTTGAAAACTCCATTGTGGTTAAATGAAGTAACAGTATCTCTGGGCCTACCACTTTTTTCCGGTCTTTATCATCTAGCTCCTCACTTGGCAGTCAGTACAGGTAGGGGACAGTAATAGCAATCTAAAAGAACCCCGATGTAGTTGTGATCTGCACTCTGAAGTGGACTGATGCCCTCATGCTATTAAAGCTCATTCAGTGTAACTACAAAGGTGGACCCAAATAGCATTGTGTCCTCTTTTGCCTAATGGTTCCTGCCAATACTGCTCTCTGCTGTGATTTGAATCTTCATCCCTGCTCTGGTCTGAATTGAGGTGGCTGCAGAGCAGGTTGCAGTGCTGATAAGTCCGCAGTTGGATGCTAGTGTCTTTATAATTGGCATGGTACTTGTATTCAGTTGGATTCCAGTTTATAATGCCAGTGACCAGAAAGTCTAGACATGCCCTGCAATGATACTTACCAAGTCTACCAGCGTCATCTGGAGGGTAATTTAAGGTTGTTAGATCTTAATCTTCTTCTTAGGTATGTTCCCATGTTTTGGTGCTTTTTATGCTGTTCAACAAATCTAACAGTAGTCTTTGCTCCATATTTGTTCTGCAGGAGTATATCGATGCTCACCCTGAAACCATCATCCTGGACCCCCTTCCTGCTATCAGGACGCTGCTGGACCGATCCAAGTCTTATGAACTTATTCGTCGAATAGAGGCCTATATGCAAGGTACGACGGTGTCTCTTCATTTCAGAAAAGCCTGTTCCTTGCATTGAGGGTTTGGGACCAAATGAATAGCTGGTTCCTCAGTTAGGTAGGTAGGGGTATGTGTGTGTTTATAATGGGCGTGGGCTGCAGACACATTCTTTCATAGCAGAATTGTGCTCAAGAATTGAGGCCTTTTTTTTGTTTAAAACATGTGAATAGATTTGATCTAAATGAAACAAGGTTTGTGTATGATGGGGAGTATATGAATTACTCTGAACAGCAGCAGAAATGCTGTCTTCATGTTCACTGGTAAATTGAAATTATTGTACGAACTCAACTGCTTGTCATGGGAAAACCAAAGTTTGCATTTAGGAAGAGGTTATTAATGGGAAATTTTTTTGGAAAGGGGCTAAAAGACTCCAAACTGAATTGAGCAAGATGATTTGAGACTTGAGTGGCACAACTTACTGAATTGCTAGAGAGGGAAGAAAATATAGAAACAACTGGATTTGCAGTGTTAGTTATATTACATTACTAAAGTTTATACCTTCCTTTTGGCATCACTTGGCCTGTATTTCCCTGTTTGGTGGGGATACCTTCTGGGCCTGAATAATTACCTTTTGGCTTCTAATTTGATGTGATTAAGGATGCTTCCATGTGTTTTAATATCTTAACACTTTGACTTTAGATTCTTTCTAATTTGCTTGCTAATCTTTTCCTAACATTAGTGGTGCAGTGATAGCTATTTTTAGTACAGCAGATGCTGATGAACTTTAGTTACTTTATGGTCGCTATTATTTAGTGACTCAATTAATTTAGCTCTTCAGCCAACTCCTGTGTGTTAGGATAAGTCAAGAGTAGCCTCTCCTTCTGAGTGCTGTAGAAGTATCTGTTCTAAGAGCCAGTTGTTTATGATGTTGAGAAGTTGCTTCTGTAAATTGTTCTGATGTGATATGTGATTGGTTAATGTTTGAGTCATTCTATTGCTTTCCCACTTCTCAGCTCAGAAACTTGCCATGTTGCTATCCTTTGTGTTTTTTTATGTTTGGGGATTTATAGCCATGAAGTCCATATCCACTTTGTCTGGCCATCATTAACCTGGTCTCTGAAAACATCCCAGCTATGTAAAAATAGACATGAATTACAGTCTCCAAAGAAAGCACTCTCTTCTTTTCCAGCTGGAGAAATAGCTTAATTAGTTTTCAGCTCTCTCTGTGTGAGAGAGCTATAAACAATTAAGTTTTATTTTATTCTTAAAGTGGGGAGATACAATATTTTTATCTCTTCATGAACAGAAGAACTGGTGGAAAAAATGGGAGATATTGTTCATAAACATATGAACCCATTTTTCAGTCAAATTTTGAAATTGAGGAAAATTTCATTAAAACAAGAAAAATTGAATTTTAAAAATAGCCGACTGGTCTTGGTTGATAGAAGGATTGTATCAATGGAATGTAGCGGCCACATGTGGGCAGTGCCTCTCCCTCCATCTATGACTGTCTTAGCTTAGCTTATCTCTTGGACAGGTTTGAATATCGTGTCTAGGATCTTTATTTGTGTTCCCTAGTGAGAGCACTGAGAGCTGCACAACAGATGATATGGTAGTAGTGGCCTTTGCTAAGCACATAAGTTGCTGCATTTTGTTCCCAGAGGAGCTTTTTAAAGACATGTAACTTTGTGTCTAGGTTTAAAAACTTGCTACAATTGAGCCAGGAGATCCAAATATGTGGTGAATCACTAAATCAAGACCTGTAGCCAGGACACATTTTTATTCTTCCTCTTTAAATATGTTGTCTAATCTGCTGCTCCTTCACTGGAAGCAATCCCATTCCAGGCACATCCCACTTCCCTGGCCCAATCAATCCCTGACATTGCTTTAAGGTATGGTAAGAGGAAGCTATATTCTGAATTTGGTGGTCCTAGCTCTTACTGTTTAGGAGGAGTTCTTGAACAGACAGACAAACTCTTAAGTATATAGTAGATAATTCTTTTCCTGTCTGAATTGCTGTGTTTCCTCTTAGTGTAACTAAAATGAAATATAGCATCTGCCCCTTCAGTCTGAATTTCATTTATACTCTTCAGATGTTTAGGGAGTCTTGTAACTGACAAATGGTACCATTTTAGGCTAATGGGTGTTAGTTTTGTTTGAGGTTTATTTTTTCTCACCACATACTCTGTCCCTTACCATTCTGATGTTTGTCTAACACAAGATGAACATGTTGTTTTGTTGAATCCCAAATACACCCTTTTTAGTGCCGGTGGTGCCTGTGCTTGGCTCCACATTCTTGATGAATTATACAGTTCTGTAGCTTATGTTGCCGGGTCACTTTACTCAACATCCTAGAGTACGTCTAGACTACATGCCTCTGGCGACAGAGGCATGTAGATTAGGCTGCCCAGCATAGGAAAATGAAACAGTGATTTAAATCTCCTGGTTTAGAGCAGGGGTTCTTAACCAGTGAGGTGCGCCTCCCCAGGGGAGGTGTGAAGGGGATACACGGGAGGTGTGAGGTTCCTCCCAGAAAATTTATCGCAATTGCCTTCTCACTGGATAAAATTCTAAAGTTTAGATTTCTTCATAATTAATATTATGAATTAAAATTATAAACATTAATTTCTAATTAACCTCTAGAGATCGGCACACTACAATAGCAGTGCGAAGCAATCAGGCCTATGTGATGACACACTACAATAACAGTACACGAGCATTGCCAACTTTCATCTTCAAATATTACATACATTTGTTAGGAAAAGGTTCAAAGTAAAAAGCTCATATTATTCATTTAGGCATTGTAACAGGGTTCATTCACCCCAAAGTGCCACCCAGCTGTCGGACTTGGGAATTAGGTCGGACAGCTGTATCCAGTGTCCAGCTGGTTTGCCAAGTCCCAGGGTTCAGGCAGGCCTCGGGATTCGAGCCGGGCCTTCAGCTCAGGCCGGTCCTCTGAATCACCAGGCACCAGTAGAGCCTTGGGTTCCTCTAGGTCAGAGGGTAGCCCTGCTGGCCAGCTTGGCCAGGCCTCGGCAGCCCATGTAGGGAAGCCTTTGCTGGCCTTAGGGAAGGCGGCTGTGGGAGGCCCGGGCCAGGTCTCAGCCTCATCAGCCAGGAGCTCTGAGAAGGCCTCTGTCTCCCTCAGAGGCTGGGCCCCAGCTGAGCTCCTTGGCAGAGTTTTTATAGTTCTAGCCACGCCCCTTAGCTTCCTGTCAGGTGAAGGGGCGGGGCTAGGCTGTGCACAAAATGGCTCCCAGGGGTGTGTGAACATGAAGTTCACTTTCGGGGGAGGTGTGAAGGTAAAAAGGTTAAGAACCCCTGTCTTAGAAGGACCACTGCTCCTCGCGAGGAGTAGGAGTACCAGTGCCAACCGAGGCTGCCCTCAGTGTGTGTTTGAGCAGGTTCTTACTAGACTCGCTAAATTGAATGTCAGAAGATCAGTCTCCAGCATAAGTAGAGAGATGGCCTAATACAGTAGACACTGGAACATCTTTCCTTATTGAGACCCTAAAACTCCTTTTTTACTAATGTGTAATGAATAGTTTAACCATATAGAGGTTGATTTGATTGCAGTTTCAATAAGAGATGTTTCCCTCTAGAGCAGGAAACGTTTCTGATATTTCTCACTGCTCTGAGATGGGTTTTTATTAGAAATAGGTCAGAGGCTGGGCACTTTCCTGTTCTTTTTTTGTTTCCACAGGGCAAACACTGAATGAATCTCATTTTGAAACTCTCATTTCTACCTTTTTCAAAGTCCTTCAGAAATAAAGTTTACATCCCCATAAGTGCTCTGTGTAGCTAACTTAGCAGATCACTATGAACAAAATCACTGAAAAGTTCTGGTTTAGCAGTTCTTTTCTCTCAGCAATTGTACTGCTGTGGATTTTTTTTACTTATCAGTGAAAGATTACTGCTTGGTACAAATATGAGTTTGTTGAGAGTTTCTCCCCATGATAGCAATGTTTGGGAAAACTAGCTGTACGATTTAATGAAAAATGCATTTTCAGCACGGTTGTGTGTGATTTAAGCTGTGTCTGCTCCTTCGATTGTTGACCTAATGAAAAATACCTTTGGATTCATGGAGTCATATTAAGTACCTCTGACCTTCTCAGCATCAGACTTTCAAGACTTAACCATAATAAAAAAGAAAGTTGAGATGTTAACATATTTGCAATGATTTGTTGATCTTGTGATTAGACTGAGCAATCAGAACGCCTTTATTACAATGTAATTTTCTTTTCAAGGGATGTTTCTTTTTAAAGCTAAAATTAATATTTGGGAAAAAATCACTATCTAGTCAGTCTAGCTATATTACATCCATCACCTCTCTTTAAATGGTATTACCCATGCAGTTCACAAAACTGGATTACTTTTGATTAAAGAATAAAACAAGATTTGTGTTTTTTAACTAGAGACAGAGGCTTACATTGTGTGTACAAGTATAGAGGCTTTAGAGTAAGAAATAATTACAAGAAAAATAAAGTTAAAATGCTTCCTAGTACTACATTTAACAAACTAGGATTGATTCAAAGAGAAATTCTTACCACAGGTTCCCCCAGTGTCATTTCTGACCAAGTTTTAGGTCAGAATCTGTTCCCAAAGTCCATTGGCTGTTACTTTTGTCATCTTAGGTGGATAAGAAAGATGGTTAGGGAGAGAAAACTTGGGGTATTTTTGCCCCTCAGTTTTATAGTTGTCATACTTTGAAATGCACTGTTGTCAGAACAACCTCTTAGTAAAGTTATTTCCAGCTGACAGTAAGGAGACTTGGAATCTGGAAGGAAAGAGGTGTTATGCTGTTTGCTTTTTATCTATGTTTGCTAAATTGCAGATCTCTTTGTCTCATGCTTTCTTTTTCCTCCATGCCAGAGAATGGCCACTTGATAGATAACTGCCCATGAGCTTTGATGCCTGACTAGGTGCACAAACTTGTCCTTTGTCTTTGGCAACAAGATTACTCACTTCCCAGACTCATTTAGTAAACACTAGGGATGTAAGAGTTTAAATGGTTAACCAATATGCTGATGCT